GGGAAACTATAATTGGGTTCAGTGATGTGGTTACATTTTTCCTGAAGTTTAATTACCGTGTAGATAATTACATGGTGCATATTTTTCCCTATTGAACTCTAGGAAATTATTTTTTATTGAAGACCATTCTAAATGAATAATAATAAATAAATAAAATAGTAATTTGGTGATAAATCTAATGTAAGGATGATATAAGACATTAGGTCCAGCGTGTATTTTTTATTAGTAAGAGATCCATCCTTTGTGAAATAGTTTGGTGAGAAGTCTTTTTATTTGTTTTGAAGGACATTTTGTTTTCAATTTTACCCCTTAATTTATCTGCATTTCGTGTCATTGTTCGACGCCCTACTTCTATTTGTCTAGATGTGATTCAAGTGGGTTCAAGTGCTTGAAGAGCATATTTTCCGAAACAAATATGATTACCACGATAAGATATTTCTTTCATTCTACCTCTATGTTGTTTACGGAATCTAGTTCTTTTGGGGTTATAGTTGATGGTTTTTTCTAAATTCCATCTCTTCAACAGAACCGGATGTGAGAGTTTCTTCTCATCAAGCTCCTTGAAAATAAACAAGGATTCAAAATATTTAATTTGAATCAAGATATACATATTTAATGAATAATAGATTCACGGGGATTTTTTTTAAGGATCCCTGGTATTAAGATTTTATAGCATAAAGAATATCTAATATTTTCATAATGTCTATGGTCCTTCAACATCGATCCAGAGATGTAACGCCCTCAAAATAATAACATTAAACCCATCAGATAAGACAAGTGTTGATAGATAAACTAACCACCTTCTATCATTCATTAGAATTCCGTCACATTAGTATTACATGTTAACATCAAAACAAAATGCCCTACGGGCTTACAGCTTTCCAAGTCAACACTTGGTTACAACAAGAGTTCTAACTCGTTTACACATTAAGCCCTTGGCTTGAAGTTACACATATAATACATCAAAAGTGAAACGACAAAACTATGCCCGCCACAAGCCTCCCAGCTATGTCCTTGGAGGTGGCATGCTTCCTGCACCTTATGATTATTTTCAAATAAGAGGAGTATAATCTGCATATGGATCAAAATAAAATTTGGCCTTTCAAATAAAATGCATTATGGAGATTCCCAAAGGGTGATATTCATTGGAGGGAAACTATAATTGGGTTCGGTGGTGTGGTTACATTTTTCCTGAAGTTTAATTACCGTGTAGATAATTACATGGTGCATATTTTTCCCTATTGAACTCTAGGAAATTATTTTTTATTGAAGACCATTCTAAATGAATAATAATAAATAAATAAAATAGTAATTTGGTGATAAATCTAATCTAAGGATGGTATAAGACATTAGGTCCAGTGTGTATTTTTTATTGGTAAGAGATCCATCCTTTGTGAAATAGTTTGGTGAGAAGTCTTTTTATTTGTTTTGAAGGACATTTTATTTTCAATTTTACCCCTTAATTTATCTGCATTTCGTGTCATTGTTCGACGCCCTACTTCTATTTGTCTAGATGTGATTAAAGCGGGTTCAAGTGCTTGAAGAGCATATTTTCCGAAACAAATATGATTACCACGATAAGATATTTCTTTCATTCTGCCTCTATGTTGTTTACGGAATCTAGTTCTTTTGGGGTTATAGTTGATGGTTTTTTTCTAAATTCCATCTCTTCTACAGAACCGGATGTGAGAGTTTCTTCTCATCAAGCTCCTTGAAAATAAACAAGGATTCAAAATATTTAATTTGAATTAAGATATACATATTTAATGAATAATAGATTCAAGGGGATTTTTTTTAAGAGTCCCTGGTATTAAGATTTTATAGCATAAAGAACATTTAATATTTTCATAATATCTAAGTTCCTTCAACATCGATCCAGAGAAATTTTGATCCCAGAGAAATTCTGGATTTCCCAAAGAATTTCTCTGGGTTCAAACCAGATAAAATTTAAATTTTTTTGGCTTTGTTCACAGAGAATTGAAATTTCTCTGGCTCTATTCACAGAAAATTTCTATGGCTTTGTTCACAAATTTCTCTATGTTTGTTCACAATTTTAAACCAGAGAAAATTGTTTTAACCAAACCAAAGAAATTTTAACACAATAATTTTAAACCAGAGAAATCGTTTTAACTAAATCGGAGAAATTTTAATCAAACCCCTCTTTTTATAACAAGGTTATATTCCTTGAAAGTTGTAAGCCCTTGGGGTTATTTTTAATTTGAGACATGAAATTGTTTTGTAATAGTATCACTTGTTGTAGATTCAAGCTTGAGAGTTATGAATGTGTAATGCATGTGATTTATTTTGTACATCTTACTTGATGAAATGAAGAATACAAAAAGAAGATTTTCATTATGAATATTAGATAATATAGAATATTATATCAGCTTCCGCATTGTATATGTTTTGAGATCATGAGAGTTATAAGAATGATACAAGTTTAGTTTAACATTGTATATGTTGAATGTGTTTTAGAAATGCAAATACGTTATTAGCATTGAATATGTTATGGAATTATGGGATATATGTGTTGAAGTTGATGAATTTCAAAGGAATGCATGTTGATAATGCATAATGAGCTATATTTTGTAACGTTGTTCTCTTGAAAAGAGATGGAATGACCGATGATGGGCCATATTGGTAAGAGTTGAAATATAACCATGTTGAGAATTGAAAAACTGAAATTTTGAAACTTATATCTAATTTTGGGGGCAAAATTCTTTAAGGGGAGAAGGTTATAACGATACCGGTTTTCCCCGTTATATATTGTATTCCGGACTTGGGTCTATTGGTTGTACGTTGTTGTTTGTATCTCGTTTCCATCCTTTGATTCTTTGTATTTGAGTTCTGGGATGTGTTGGGTAGATTTGAAACAGGTTGGTTGTGATTTGACATAAATAGTTGCTGTCCAGAATTTGGCATCTTCACTCGAGCGAGGCTTTTTGCGCTCGAGCAAGCCTTGGGTTTTTCCTTCTTCGCTTGAGCGAAGGTTCTTGTACTCGAGCGAGCTTTCTTTGATGTGTCTCTTGGCTCGAGCGAGAAGTCTTGCACTCGAGCGTGCGTCTGCGTCTAGTTTAGACTTGAAGGTTGTGTTTCTTCGCTCGAGCAAACTTTCTTTCGCTCGAGCGAGTGAGCTCTATGTTTTGTGTTTCCTCGCTCGAGCGAGGACTCCTGCACTCGAGCATGCTTCTAGGTTGCAGACCTGAAGCTTCGCTTTGTTCACTCGAGCGACGATTCTTGCGCTCGAGCGAGCCTTGAATATATCAGTTGACAGCAGCCTGTTATACATCACTTTTTCACCATCTCCCTCATTCCAACCCTAGATCCGGCTACTCCTCTCTCTCTATACACTCTCTCTCTACAAATACCCCTTGTTCTTGGGTCTCTCTACCCTAGTCCCTTTGTAAGAAAGTTAGAACTTGGTGTGGGCTTCGTTTTGATCCGAAAAATCGTGGATTTGGAGCACTTTCAAATTTCTTCATCTTCTCCTTTGAGTCTCTTCATTTGAGGTAAGGATAAACTACTCATCTTTATGAGCTTTAACATAAATTTTAGTCATTTTGATTAAATGGTGAAATTATGGAAATTTTGGAAAGCTAGGGTTTTAAATTTGAAATATATAAGAGAGAGGTTTTCCATTTTTGAGATTGATATATATATATATATATATATATCTGAGACTTGAAATTGGGATTGATTGTAGAACATGAATGAAATTTGGCCTTGGGGGCAATATTTAAGGATAGGGGATTAAAGCCCTAATTAACTTTAAATAATTAATTTATATAATTAATTTGGTGGATTATGGAAACATGAAATTTAACTGAGAATTATGAAATTGGGAAAATATGAGATTAAATAGTGTAGTTGGATTGATTAATCACTCACCAATGAAAAGTTGATAATTTATCTATTTGGTAAATTTATTATCTGTTTAGAAATAACTGCTTTGAGCTATTGGTGGAAGATAGTCTTGACTGTTGTAGACACTGCATGTTGATTAGGGAAAATTGAAACTAATCAATCGAGTTATGTCATTGAATATGACGGTTAGGCTAACACATTGAATATGTGTTTTAATTGATCATTGTATATGTATTGTGATTGGGAGGAGAAAGGGGATGTACTCAATGGTTTGGGATGAGATATGGGATGTACTCCATGATTTGGGAGGAGATAGGGGATGAACTCTATTGATAACTAAGTTGGCCGAAGTGTCCAGGGTAAAAGTCCCGAAATTTTAATTACGTTTGAATAACGTAGATGATTGAAGTATTAATAATATGAGTTGTAGTCTCATTTTGAATTGTTAATGATTGAAGTATTGATAATATGAGTTGTAGTCTCATTTTAAATTGTTGATAATTGAAGTATTGACAATATGAGTTGTAATCTCATTATGATTTGTTAAGATAAATAATGATCCATGCTAATGAATTGATTTTGATATATAAACGGAAATGGATTGGAATATGGATATACGTTGGTTTACATGTGTTGAGCATTTATCAAATTCTAATGTTTTAATTAATTCTCATATTATGTTTAGCATATCTCTATTAGGCTTTGACTCACTCTATATGGGAAACCATTTTTAAGTACAAGTGACACGCCGCCTCCAAAGAATTAGCTTGGGAGGTTGTGGGGGTGAAGTTTCCGTTTTGGTTGTTTTATTTTTATGCTATATGTTTTTATTTCCAAGCCGAGGGCTTTTAATTGTAACAGGCTTCTGACCCTCTTTTGTTGTAACCAAATATTGACTTAGAAAGTTGTAAGCCTTAAGGCATTTACTTTTGTTGTCAACATGTAATACTTTTTGTAAAAAACACTCTGATGAATGAATATATGTTATTCTCCTATGTCTATGGATATTATGAATGAATGATTTATGGTTTTATTTTGAGAGCGTTACAATTGGTATTTGATAAAAAAAAAATCTGGGACTTTTTAAATTTAAAAACATGATTATTTACATTTGAAAAAAACAAACAACAAATACATTCCTAATAAATCAAAGCATTAAACTTTAATTACACAAACTGATTTCAATTTTCAAATATCTGCTGCTACATCCATAGAAGCTCTATCAACAAAAAATGAGTCATTCCTACGACAAAACAAATTTTGATTGAGCAAAGAAAAATAAAGGAACCTATGGACTACTATAATTTGGCAACGTCATTATGCAAGTAGCGCCACCATTTTTCTCCCTCCATCTTTCTGTATATTTCCCTCCAGATTCCCCCTTGAACCCTACAAATTAACACCCAAAATGCTTCAATAAAAAATCAAATTAAAGTGAAAATTAAAGCTAAACAAGAAAAATGATTTGAGAAAAGAACAGGGGCAAAAATCACAAAACAAAGATATAGCACCAACCATCAAATATGATGATAGAAGCATATAGCACAACCAATTCCTTAAATTCAATACAGCAAGAAAAATGAAGTAATCCTAATTGTTAAAAAACACCAATACCATGGACAGGATTAAATGAACTTAATAATGTTTCCCAAAAAGTCAGTCATTCCACAAATAGCATCATATAACTAGATATCAAGCTTGTTAAAAATAGAGAAAGTCAGTCATTCCACAAATAGCATCATATAACTATCCTTGAGATCAAGCTTGTTAAAAATAGAGAATAAGAATGGACTACAAAGCCAAAAAGAGTCATCACAGAACTCCCAAAAATTTGGAAGGATCAAAGGCCATGTTTGATTCACAAAACTAATAGTAAATGTATTAATAATCTCATTAAATTAGTGTGATATTTACTATCCAATTAGATTAGTAGGATAAATTATCCCCTTGTCCATTGTTTGATTTGCATTGGATAAGAAAACATATGAATGTAGGATTACAACTATATTTATTTGCTTTTCTAATCTTACCATCCATCAATGTTTCTTCACAATCTTTACTTTATCAAAATTTCTTCATAAACGTGGTTTTGAAAAAAATTATAAATAAATAAATAAAAGCAAAATAAAAATACACAGGCCATGTTTGGTTTTTTTAAAATATAAATTAATTTGATAAAATAAATATCAAAAAATATTTTCAAATTTTTAAAAATTATTTTTAGCCTTCTAAAATATAAAATTATAGAGAAATAATAAGGGTTTTAATTTTTAATCAAAGGTAAAAGAGTCTTTATTTTATTTCCCAACTCAGGATATATAATCTCACCCTTACCCCATTACTAATAATCCTACAAATTTGTTGGATTAATTATCCATTGAATTAATAATCCTAAAACAAAATTTCAAAACAAACGCAAAAGTACTGGGCCTACGGATTAATAATCTTAATCCCATACTCTAATCATGTCAATTAAACATACCCAAAGGGAAAAAATATTTGGAGAGCACAGAGGAAGTCCATATGTAAGCTAAACTAGCAGCATTTTTCTTAGAATTCCATTTGGCAATCAATAAATATTTTAGTAGAAAATAATAGATAAATGGCTGTTACAAGCTCTAAACTACAAATTACATCAAAATCCACAAACAAAAAGCTGAAAACTGAATCTAGTTTCGTTAATACTACATGCAAAAAAATTAAGAAATATGATATAGTCCAAGATTTTTTTAAAATAATTGGGTAAATTACACTGACCTTTCTATTAAGGCTTTTGACAAAATGGAGACATCCCCACAAGTTTAAATGACACTGACCTCTCTCTGCCACCTAATTACAAATCACAATCACCCCTCCATCATTGGTTTGAACCATCATACATCATCACCCAAGTCTATAACCATCTCCAAACAAAACATTTTATGATTCTCACTCTACTCTGTCCTTACTCTAAACTCTCACCCACTAGCATATTTCTCTCCCACATATCTCAAGTTAGATCAAAATTCCAAATCTACATTCCTTAGACTATTGCATCAAAATTTCAAATTTTGTATCACTAACATTCATAATTTCTAACAAACTGTGAAGCTCATGCCAAAAATTTGAAAATTCAATATTCCATACCTACCATGTCCAAACTGTTGCACCAAAAAAAACTTACAAAGAAATCTTGTTTAAAAGTGGAATTTTCATGTATCATTGAAAAAGTTCATCATATGAACTAGTTAATCACATGCCAAAACTAAACCATCAATTGGGGATCCATTACCATAACTTCTAAAGAAAAGAAATGTGAATGGTTTCTACAATCCATTACAACAACAATATTTTTTTTTTAGGAGGTGATCTTATCCTTGCACCAAATGATAAAAGTAATTACTAGACGATTATTAATGGGAAATAACAATGAAACACAAAGGCCACTAATCAAGTTAAATAGAAGCTAAATTGTTTTTACTTTTCCCTTCTTTTTTATACTTACATATAGAAGATAATCACATGTTATCTAGGACGAAATTAATCCACTCCACAAGCACTTCATCAAGTTCAAATTCCATGCAAGTCTTCTTCCCATTAAACTACAAGAGGTCATTAAGAACCCATTAGTAAATGAAAGGTCATTTGTAAATAATTAGTAAACAACTACTAAAATTGATCTTACATTTGTTTTGCTTAGGATGCTTTGATCTCCAATAAGGTCTTTCATGTACCTCATTACATAAAATCCACATTCCACGCTTGTCAATTGTTGTGGGCACTACATACAAATAATGTGCTTTTTATTAGAAAACTACATATAACAATTATACTCAAGATGAATCATCATTAACATTAAATATATAGTTCAAAAAAAAAAAAAAACTATATTGATTACCTCAACTACTTGCCAAATTGGCTTTCTATTCATCCCATTAGTTATTCCATAAATCTGAAGACCACTTTATAAAAAGAACAAAGATTAGTACATTATCATTAGAATAGCTCTATTGCAAAGAAATGTACAAAAGTAATTTAAACTTGTGTTGATTTCACCATGATAAAATGAATCAAGATAGTACACTATCATCGATGATAGATCAATGACTAATAATACCCAATGGTACCTAAAATTGAACAAATCACAATCAACAAGTAATTATTTTTCAAACACATGAAGTAAATAACACAACGACAATTGCCCAATATTATAAGGAACAAATATTAGTTGGTCAGGCTTGGCATCATCTAATCTTCTAGCAATCAATGTTGATTTTGAATTTCCACCAGTCTGACATTTCCCACTAACGACATATGGGTTAACAAATGCAAATCTTCTGTCCAAATTCGACGTTTTTAACACTTGATGGAAATGACTAATAAAAGAAGAAATAATTGTCATAAGAAACTTTGTGATTGATAAAAACCTCAGCTTCTCACAAAGCATGTAATAATTTAGTCTTACCTTATGTACAACATGATGCATGTAATGGATAGCTCTTTCATTTGACATACACACTCCATTCTTTGAAGTTGTACACTGATCTCCTCCCCAAATATGTCCAAATATGTCCTTATGGACTCCAATTTTTTTTCAAAATCAACATTTTTTGAATTTCCCTAAGTTTAGAAAATTCCCAATGCAAAAATATGTCAATTTCAGTGCAAGAAAATGTAACAACACCACTGGAAAAGATAGTTGTACCTCATTGCCGACCAATGAAGCAAAAGCTGAAATGTTACAATGCAAAAATACACAAGTCAATTTTAGTTGAAGGAAAATGTAGTAACATTTCTAGAAAAGATATTTGTACCTCATTGTTGACCAATATGAATTTTTTGGGCCAAGCCACCTGACATCCTATTGCCTCTCCAACAATAGTCATCTCTTCCGGGATAGGAATGGGAAGAGGGGCATCTTTAACTATAGCAACATCAAAAGACACTCATACATTGAATTTCCCCAATGGTACCGTGTGAATAACTTCTTGAGGTCCAGTTCTTTCATACATCGTACCATGGGCCCACCACTAGTTTGCATGGTTTGCTCTATAAGAAATAAAAATAAAATAAAATAAATGTTTTTACAACTAAGGAGTCAATTCATAATTTACAAAATAATAGAACTTAAAATTGAAATAAAAACAATATACCTTTCTAATATTTAGGCCTCGTTTGGGAACAGGCTAATTTAGTAATTTTTTGGCTATTTGGCTAAAAAGGTAGGTAAAAAAAACTTGTATGTTTGGGATGACTTTTTGGCTAATTACAAAAAGATGTGCAAAAAGTAGAGAGAAAAGAGAATCTTTGACTTTTTGGTATGAGTTGTTGGCTTTTTGGTTAATTTAGTAACTTTTTGGCTAATTGGCTAAAAAGATAAGTCCCCAAACGGGGTCTTAGCTTGAAAACTAGAGGTTTGATATTCTTCTTAGGATTTGGAGGTCTAATATTCTACTTAGGATTTGAAGATGACGTGTCACTCTTGAAAAGCAGCCTACTTTCCTTTGAGTTAGGAACAAGTTGTGGATTGCCTATATTATCGCTTTTCAAGGTGTTTGAGTTTGCATCATCAAATTGCGATGTTTGGGGTCTTTGTTGTGCCATTGTATTGATTTGAGCTTGCATTTGTAACAAGATTGACTCAAAAGATTTCAGCTTCTCTTCACAAATTGAATGATTTCCACGTCTAGGAACGTGGAAGTACTGTTTGGTGTGATAAAATTTCCTACACCCCTTACCCGCCCCGAATGTTCAACCATACCCAATGCCATGGTAAGGATGTCGGTGCTTCCTTGGGTGGACAAACTCCCATCCATTGTTTGTTTGGTCAACTCATCCTATAGTACACAATGATATATAAGATGAATGAACAATATTGTTTCAATATAAAATCAGTATGATAAGTGCACGGAGGTTACAATTTTTGCAACTTGCTGCATAATTTTCACATCATCACACTCTCCTTTTATTTTGATGAGCCTTCTTCCATAGAACGCTCCTATCCAAATTCTCACTTGATCCAGTCTTTTGTTTCTATCAATCAAACATAAAATTAGAAATAGTCATACCAAATTTTGAATGTATATTAAATTACAAAATCTACAAATACTTACAAGTTGTTCTTGAAACCGAGCATAGCCCTTTCGACCAAGCCTATGGTTATATATACTTCTGCTTTGCCTCGCTCTCTGAATATTACTTTGTACCTTTTAAATTATAACACAAAATTAAATTCAATTGTATAACATTAAATATCCACTAACAAAATAAGTAAATTGTTCTGACATGTACCTCAAAATTTTCTGTCAGTCTATCATCCCTCATAAATGAATTCCAATGTCTTTGTTCAATAAAAGGATAAATTTCTGAGGGTATTGAAAGGAACTTAGGATTTGACTTGTATTGACGGATGTGCTTGCTAAGGTATTTTTTGAATGTCCTCCATTTCTTTGCAATTGAAGACAAAGTCTTCTTTTTTCTACTTGGATCCACATTGTATGCTGACTAAGCAATTAAGAAATGAAGTTATAAACAAAAAATTTAAGTGAAATTAAAAGTATGTAGACATATGAGGCCTACTTACCTCCGCACAACTCCACAATTTCTCTTTCAATTCTTTTGGAATCTTATGCCAATCTTTATAGACTATTGGGACCATTGCTCGAGCCAAAACTCCACGATAGCTCAGGTATTGTACGTCCCCTATTGGTTGACCCAACTCATTATAGTGAATGATTTTTTGCACACCAAAACTTTCATCCTTTATGATCCCTGGTAGGGTTATTGAACCTCTACCTTTCCTTTTTTTCGATTTTGTTGGTGACAACCTTGCATCCTCTTCGTAAGATGAATCCATCTGTGTCATGAAATTGGAAGAAAATCACATTAGCACACTATTAGATTATGAAAATAAAGAAAAGAAAAGAAAACTATTGAATAATGCAAAGCCATCCACAAATATAAATAGAAAAAAAGCAACAATCTCGTACATTCTTAGATACAAATAAACAAAAATGAGATTCACTTCATTTTATCATAAAGACAGAATAGACTTAACTTGTTCCCACTCGAAAGGAACGAGGACCAAAAAGCAAAAGAAAAGTAAAAATATATCCACTCAACAATGCATAAGTTCAATGTTACATCCAACACAAAAAAAAGAAAAATATATCATGTATTATCAACCCAAGTTCCCTTACAGTCTCCTCGCATGTAAGATGACATAGACTCATCAACTTCATCAAATGATTCAACTTCTGGCAATACATTTATTAATCCATGATGCTGTATAGAACAATCATTGAGCTCATCATCCCTTTCACAAGGATAGTCTTTGAGGAGGTTCCAGCACAATAGACCATCTCGGATCAAGTTGATCTTCTACATAAAAAACTTGTTTCACCTGGGAAGCCAAAATGAAATAATCAGATTTGTGGCCTATCCTTCCAAGCTCAACTAATGTAAAACCAAGTTCATCCACTTTAATTCCCTTCTTGTTGTCAACCAATCACACTAGAATACAAGAATCTTGAACATATGATAATCAAGCTACCATATCTCAACAATAACCCTATAAAAACTCATTTCTGAGAACACAGGATTCTTATCTTTGTAGATTGAAATTTGCATTGTTGTCGCCACTAAACTAACTCCACTGTTCTGATTGACTCATAAATTATTGCAGTTTTTGTTGTAATAACGACGACTATTAACGACATAGCCATAACATTTTGTAACATCAAAACGAGATCCTTGTGCCACTTCAAGGTATTTGAGATATTATTATGGGCATTTAATTCATCTGAAACCTAATATACGGCTGAACTGTTAGCAATAAGTTTATTAGTGACATACAAGAAGTAAAAAATACACATTTAATTGTTTCAATACCTTTTCACGTAGCCAATAAATAAATGTATTATTGTGTTAAATTTTTACCAATTTCTAACTTTTTGATTGATAAGGATGTTCTAGCTTCAAACAAGCCATATTCTCCCTATCATCAAATTATAGATAAGTAAAATATGATCTGTTAGCAAATACATCACAACTATTGTGAGACAATACAGTTGTCACAAAAATGGAGATGAGTAGCTCTTACTCAATGTAAGGTTGAACAACACTTTGTGTTTTCAAACACATAACAAAGTGCTTGCTCCCATTTTTCACGATCAACAACAACAACAACATGACAACCTGGTAAAGCCCTTCCAATTTTTGTATCATTATCAACTGTCATGTTCCTAGTAGGAGGAATCCCAATTGTATCCACTCCAAATAAGTACTCTACACAAAACTCAACAGCTTCTTCTACAATATAACTTTCAGCAATGCAACCTTATGGAAAATTACGATTACAAACATACCCTTTTAACACATTCATGAACCTCTCAAATTGGTACATCCATCTAAAGTGAATCAATCCACAAAGTTTCACTTCTCTAACAAGATGCACTATCAAATGAACCATGATATCAAAAAATGATGGTGGAAAGAATTTTCAAGTACACATGATGTGATCACAAGATCTTAATGAATTTCATCTAATTTTGGCACATCCACCACTTTGCTTCAAATAGCATTGAAAAAGAAACATAATCTCATAATGGCATATCTCACATGCTTAGGCAACACGGATCGTATTGCCATAGGTAATAATTGTTGCATCAATATATGACAATCATGTGACTTCAAACCATAAAGTTTCAAATCTTGCATTAATACATGACTAATAAAATTTGAAGAGTATCCTTCTAGAACCTTGAGTACGAACAATTGTGTACATAAAAGAATGAAAAGAATTATTTGGCTTACCAATCAACGAAGTAGAGACCATGTATATATAGTGGTATTTTGGGAAGATAGTAAAAAGCAGCTTTTTTGCTTTTAACCAAGCTTTTTGGGAGTGATTTGGGAAGTTGGTAAAAAGTTGCTTTTCTTTTTGAATTAATATTTATTTATGGTGTCACATCACACTAAAATGACTAAAATAACCTCACCAAACTCAAAAAAAATTACATTTTACCCAAACCCACAAGATATAAACATTGAGGGTACTCATGTAATTTTCCAACCTACTTTTTGCCACTTCCCAAATGAGCAAAAAACGCAACTTTGCGTTTTGCTCAGCCACAAAACGTGGCGTTTTGATCTAATCCCAAAAGAGCCCATAATATATTCATGACACAATTTAAGAAATAATATACACGAAGTAAGATTCCTATAATCAAAATAATTCCTATTCTAATTTCCATATTCAAACATAATATTTGATTTCTATATTAAACACTCCCCCTCAAGCTAGCTTGAAGATATTCAACAAGCGTAGCTTGTCAATGGAAGACTGGAGCAAAGTTGGTCCCCCAGATTTTGTGAACATTTCTGCCAACTACTAAGAAGAAAAGATAAAGGATGGACGCACAACGCCAATCCGAACCTTTTCTCAAATGAAATGTATGTCAACCTCGATATGCTTGGTACGCTTATGAAGTACAGAATTAGAGGAAAATATTATGGAAGATTTGTTATCACAAAATAAAAAGGAAGGAACAGTCTCCTCAAAACTTAACTCTGCCAGAATAGAGCGAATCCAAAGAATCTCACATGTCCCATGTGCCATAGCCCAATACTCAGCCTCTACAAAAGACTTAGAAACCACCGCTTGCTTCTTACTTTTCCATGAGATAAGATGATCACCATAGAAAGTATAGAAGCCAGAAGTGGAATGCCAATCAGTCCTAGATCCTGCGTAGTCTGCATCGGTGAAACAGGAGAGCCCAGATTGGAGACCAGCGGTAAAGAACAATCCCAAACCAAGAGAAGCTTTTAAATACCTCAAAATATGATGAACTGCGTCAAGGTGCTCTTTACGAGGTTCATGCACTGCAAATGTCAAATCAGGTCTAGCGTTGGTCAAATAAATGTGGTGTCCAACAAGACGTTGATACATGTCTGGGTCATCCAACAACTCACCGGACTCTAATGTGAGTTTGACATTAGGATCCGTAGAAGTAAAAGCAGGTTTACACCCTAACATACCAGTATCCTAAAAGCAAGTCAAGAGTGTACTTTCTTTGAGATAAGGAGATCCCCTCCCTTGAGCGAGCCACCTCAATTCCCAAAAAATATTTGAGACATCCCAAATCCTTAATATCAAAAGTTTAGCCCAAGTCCTTCTTTACTTGACCAATGACGACAGAGTCATCACCTGTGAGAATAATATCATCCACATAAACTAACAAGACTATACACTGACCTGCAAAATTCCAGTGAATGAAACAAGTATGATTGGAGTGGCACTGAACAAAGCCCGTAGATATAATAACAGAACTGAAGCAACCAAATCATGCCCATGGAGACTGTTTCAGACCATACAAGGATTTGCGTAACCGGCACACTTTCCCCAAATACTCCTCCTCAGCCCGAAAACCAGATAGAGAAGACATAAATTGTCTCAAGATCTCCATGGAGAAATGCATTCTTGACATCAAGCTAATCAAGAGGCCAAGAATGAGATACTGCAAGAGAGATAAAGAGACGTACAAAAGTAAGCTTGGTGACAGGGGCAAAAGTGGTACCAAAATCCTTGTCAGGAATCTGTGTGAAACCTTTGGCCACCAAGCGGGCTTTGTAACGGTCAACTGAGCCATCAGTGAGGTACTTTATAGTGAACATCCATTTGCAACCAACTGTTCTTTTCCCAGGAAGTAAAGATACAAGATCCCAAGTGTGATTTTGTTCTAAGGCCGCCGTCTCAGTCTGCATAGCCGCTACCCATTTGAGATTTTGAAAGACCTCAGATACAGAACGAGAAATGGACTCCGACTCAAGCTTGCCAAGAAAAGAACAGTAAGAAAGGGAAACCATGTCATAGAAAAGATACTGGGAAATAGGATGATGAGTACTACTCAAATAACTCAAACGATTTGGAGGATGTCGATCCCAATGTGGGTTACGACGAAAAGGTGGAGGAGAAGCTAAAGGAGAAGAGATACCTACTTAGAGATCGGAGAGATGGCAAAGGGGGCTAAATGTGTGGGTAACAGGAGTATACTTGCAATGGAGGAGGAAACGAAGGTGGAGAAGGAGGAAAGGGGACAGCCTCATTCTCAACCTCATCTAAAATGGTCACCGGGCAAACAGTGGAAGTAACAAGTAAAGGAGCCTGCAAAGATGGGTTAGTACTAACGAAAGGAAGATCCTCACAAAACGTAACATCCAAAGTGTGGTGAAAGTGACGAGACACAGGGTCATAACACCTATATCCTTTGCACATGAAGAGTACCCTCAGAAGATACAACGAATAGATTTGTCATTTAACTTTGTACAAGTGGGACTCCGATTTTGAATAAAACAGGCACACCCAAAGACACAAGGTAAGACTGGAAACAGAGTGGTGGTGGGCATAAGGGTATGAAACGGAGTGAGTCCATGCAACACACGACTAGGGGTCCTATTAATGAGGTAAACAGCAATAAGGACAGCTATGTTCCACGGACTCAGGTGCGGGTATTGGGTGCGGGGTGCGTATCTGGGGGTCAGACACTTCAAAATTAAAAATTAAGGATACATAGATATGGATCCAAATGTGGATACGGGTACAGAGATACGTTAAATAGTTATTTTAAAAATATATTTATTATATAAAAATGAGTTAAATAGTTATTTTTTAAATATATTTATTATATGAAGATGAGTTAAAAAAAGTTGACCTAATAATTTTTTTTTATGAATAAAATCAAACATATGGATAAGTCATATAATAACCCATGTTATTGTTGAATAGAGTTTGCTAACAGGCCCAAATATTTTATTTACTTATTTGGATCCAACCCATTAAGATTTATTATGATACAA